TTTTTTTCCAAACCAATAGTATTTGGGGGGATCTTTTTAAGTTACTATATAATTACTCAACCATTGATGTACGTTGTTTTGTAATTTCAGCCTGATAGCGCATATCAAGGTGGCGTCTTCTTTCTCACTGTACATTTTCCGACAGACTATCCTTTTAAACCACCAAAGGTATTTTTCTTTTTATGATTGATGTGATTGCCATGTCAGGGATTTTATTCCTTTTCCAGAGATGGTTTCATGACATCAAAGACTGTGGGTAGGTGAGCATGCTCAAACTGTTTTGTAAAACCTCCAAATCCTAAAGTTTGCATTCTTACTCAAACATTGAGTGAGATACTCAAAGCAGTATCTATTATGTTATAAATGAGTTTCTTTGACTTTCTTTTCCTGTTTATGAGGTATATGTAATTGAGGAAGTTTTTTTATGGTCAAGAATCAAACTGTTATATTCACAGGATTATTTTTAAACATCTATAGTAACTATTGAGCACCTGCTATGTTCTGCTACAGTGAGAAATTCAAAAGTGAACGTGGTGCGGTTCCTTCATTTAATGGGCAGGAGGGCACTGGGAAAAGATGAAAACATGTTCTTATTAGATTTAATTTAGATGAAGTCTAAAGAGGAAATAAATGATGAGAATATCAAGGAGGGAAATAATGAGCAGTTCTGTCGATCAGGAAATGGTTCAGGTTTTTAAAAACACCTGATTAAGTTTGTATTTTTGACATGGTAGCACAGCAACTCTTGTGTAAGATAGAATTCTTGGTCGATTTCTTAGGACAGGTTAACAAAGGCTCTAAGATCCAAGTGGCACATCCAGTACTACTGATAGTTAAATTAAGAAAAGGATTACTTTTAGGTATGAGAAAACCAGGTTAATTACCAGTCATCCTAACTACTACAGATTTCTTACACTCTCAAATACTTCTCAACTCTTTGAGGAGGAAAATTGAGATTTTTGCTTCCAAATTTATAGTATTTACAACTACTTGTAGGCCAGAGTAGATGCTCATTCGGCTTACATAGAAAGCATTTCTCCTTCTAAGGCTGTGTAAAGTTGAAGATTTGTTACCCCAGAGTAAATTGGTTTTGTTTTTTTCATAGTTCATGGCATATTACATTTTCTGTTGTTTTGTTTTGCTTTATGTTTAGATTGCTTTCACAACAAAAATTTACCATCCAAATATAAACAGTAATGGAAGTATTTGTCTTGATATCCTGAGGTCACAATGGTCACCAGCTTTGACTGTATCAAAAGGTAATTTCACTTATCAGACTTTAAACATTGATAACAGTGAGACAGAAAAATATTTGTTTCAAGTATTTAGGAACCAAAGTTTTAAAAAACAAATTTGTGCTTTCTCCTGTTTTGACTTTGCTTTGTTTTTTATAACTATGTTATGTTGGCTTTTAACAGTCAGTTTTTGGGGCATGTGGGGTGTGGATGGGTAAATCTAAATCATAAAATGAGAAAAGCTTTAAAATATCATAGTTATAAATTTGAGGATAAGCTCATTGACTATCTTTTTAGCTTGCTTTTGTCTTAAAAAAAAAAGAATAAGCGATAGTAATAAAAAGATTTTGGCATCAGTTTCCTATTCATGAAATGAGACTTTTGACAACAATGAATAAAACTATGTAACTAGTTTACTTCATCCAAGAAAAAAATTACAGATATGGCTGATGAAATAAGTGATTTTAAAGCAGTGACATATTTCACACTTTAGAATAATGCAATATAGGTAGCATGTAAGTTTAAATTTTGAATGATTGATGGCATCAGTATGACTGACACGTAATCCATGCGGATTCTGAGCAGGCACAGTTGACAACATGCAGGACATTCTTAGGTGTCTATTATGCTGAGAGATGCAGATGTGTAGCCCTGTCCCTAGCTAAATTGTCAGCTATGTACATAGGTCTCTGAAGCCAATCGTGTTTCGTTAGCCATTACAATTTACTATGCCAGGCTGGGGATGTGGCTCAAGTGGTAGCACGCTCGCTTAGCATGCGTGCAGCCCGGGTTCGATCCTCAGGACCACATACAAACAAAGATGTTGTGTCCGCTGAAAAACTAAAAAAAACAAATGAATAAATATTAAAATTCATTCTCTCTCTCTCTCTCTCTCTCTCTCTCTCTCTCTCTCTCTCTCTCTCTCTAAAAAAAAAAAATTTACTATGCCAGCATTCTTTATTTTTTGTTTTATTTCTCTAATACGGAACTTGACAATTGGAAAATATTGATTGGGTTAGAAGCATCTGCCCCTGAAAGCACTATCAATCACATTTTTACTTTTTTATAAAATTCAAGAAAATTGTTTCTCTTGAAGGATTTATGAGAATTTGTGGTCATTTAAAAAAAATTATTTTTGGTACTGGGGATTGAACCCAGGGGTGTTTAGATACTGAGCCACATCCTCAACCCTTTTTATATTTTATTTAGAGACAGGGTCTCACTGAGTTGCTTAGGGCCTCATGAAATTGCTGAGGCTGGCTTTGAACTCATGACCCTCCTGCCTTAGCCTCCCAAGCTACTGATATTATGGGTATGTGCCATCATGCCCCACCATTTTTTTATTTTTTAAATTAAATGCTACCCAAATATATGGTTTGTTGCTTATTTTTTGTTTGTTTTATTTTTAGTTCTCGGTATTAAATCTAGCTTTACCTGAGGGCTACCTCCCAACCTTTTTTTTTTTTACATTTTTAAGACTGGGTCTTGCTGAGTTGCTGAGGCTAGCCTCAAACTTGTGATTCTCCTGCCTCAGCTTCCAGAGTCTCTGGGATTACAGGCCTGGGCCACCATGCTCTATATCTAGTTTTGTTGTTGTCTTATATATATGTATGTATGTATGTATGTATTTTAGTTGTAGATGGACACAATACCTTCATTTTATTTAACCCTAATCCTAACCCTAACTCAGTGCTTCACACATGCCAGGCAAGTGTACTGCCACTGAGTCACAGCCCCAGCCCTATAGCTTGTTTTTGTTTTTCTGGTACAGGGGTTGAACCTAGGGGTGCTTAACCACCAAGCTATATACCCAACCTTTTTTATATTTTACTTTGAGACAGCGTCTCACTAAGGTGCTTAGGGCCTCAGGTGCTAAGTTGTTGAAGCTAGCTTTGAACTTTTGATCCTCCTGCATAGGGATTACAGGCATGTACCACCACATCCAGCCCTATAGCTTGTTTTTCTTTTTTTTTTTTTTCGAGAGAATTTTAACATTTATTTATTTTTTCTTAGTTCTCGGCGGACACAACATCTTCGTTTGTATGTGGTGCTGAGGATCGAACCCAGGCTGCATGCACGCTAGGCGAGCGTGCTACCGCTTGAGCCACATCCCCAGCCCCTATAGCTTGTTTTTGAAGTGATGAGTTTATAGGAAGTAGGGTCCACAGCCATAAATGTTTCAAGTATTAGTAAATAATAGGGCTTCAGGTCAATTATGACTGGTATTTTTTTCTAGCCTAAAGTGCTCATCTAAAATTTTTATATAATATATCTTTTTAAAAAATCTTTCACATAGTGAAATTATATGCACTGAATAAAGGAAAGATTCTGTGTCAAATAGTTTTTCAAACTAACAGTACTGGAATGGTGTCATGAAATGAATGTCATTTGGCATAAGCAGCTAAGTCCTTATCATTTAAAAGAAATGGCAGACTGCCAGATGCTAAGTAATTATCCTCCAACCAAGGTGGCTTTTATTAAAAAAAAAAAAAAGTATTGTTGACTTCTACAAAAATTGTCTTTTGAGAATTTAAAAACAGCCTCCTTTTCCTCATATGTGAAATAGGATTACCAACCACCTAGGGTCTCTGTGCCCCTGGCAGGAAGTTAGCATTCAGGTAACTGTTAACTGTTGTCTTTTACTTTATCTTAAAACCTTTGGTTTGTGTGCTTGATAGTGAAATCAGGGCAAATGACTCAAGGCAGCAGGACTCAGGAACTTCATTCTTGTTATTTTATGAAGTAACTCATACCTCTATGATTTATTTGTGCACTTTTCACTTTCCTGCATTTTAAATGTCTTGTTTTGCTTTTTATCAAGAGTTTAGTCTGAAAACATTCTGGAGATAAACAAGTAACCACAGAAAAATCTACCCTTTTGGTTTAATATACAGAGACTTAAAGTTTCATTGGGTAGATGGGCAATGAGGAAAATTTTTAAAAAAATGCTAGTTTTTTCCCTAGTCCTTAGGATCCCCTTTCCCTGTTGTTTAAAGAGTCGCCTTTGGACTGGAAAGAGTAGGAAAAGATGAAGGAACATATTAGAGGAGGAGAGGGTGGAAATAAGAGGTTGTTCCAAATGCAGCCCCTCAGAAGTGGTCCTGTATGAAACAGACAAATTAGGACCAGAGTTCTTGTTCCTTCCTGTTTCAAATACTTGAATTTTTTTCCCCCAAATGTAGCTGTTTACATTGTGTTTTCATATAGTAACAAGTACTTTTTAGTTTCATTGATATTTTAAAATAGACAAGTTATCTAAAGATGGCTGTTCACATTATTTTTAAATGCATGTAATAAAATAAGGTACATGGAATAAAGGTTTCATTGAAGAAAATCTCACAAATCTTCCTTCTTTATAGACAGTGTGTGTAGCACTAAGGCAAAGGAACAGAGCCCTTGAGCACAATGTTCAAAACAGTTTGGACTCTTTTCGGTAATTCAATTGCTTTTTAGAGTACTGGAGTTGAAAAGGTTGTTAGTAGCTACTTTGGAGATGCATATTTTGTAAATAAATAAAAAATTCAATAGAATTTAAAACTTCAAAAGGAGTAATAATTTTCTATTTTGTGCATTTTATGGTGATTTTATGATTTTAAAAGTTAATGATATGCTTCCAACCAAAGTTAGTATAAAACATAAAAATAAAACATTTTTGTTTTCTTTGTAAGTTCAGTATCTATAGTCAGTGAAACTATTTTCACATGTATAGCTTGTCTAAAGTAGAAAGATCACTATCTAATCTGATGTTCTCTTTTAAATCTAGTTTTATTGTCCATATGTTCTCTACTTTGTGATCCTAATCCTGATGACCCCTTAGTTCCAGATATTGCACAAATCTATAAATCAGACAAAGAAAAGTAAGTATTTATTTATATTGCTTCTGTTTGAATGCATTTCTATAGTCTCCCAAACATGAGTATTATAAATATATTAAGTACATTTAATTATGTGTATATTAATTTTGTCTTTTTCCAATGCATTGGACCTTTCTTTTTAAACCCTTCTTAAAGAGTTTAAAGTCTTTTTTATAATAAATTTCGGTTTTTTTCCCCATTTACTATTTAATAGTACATGCTTTTTGTTTATACAATTAATTATATAATTCTAGGCAGTAAATTTAAAATAAGAGAATTTAATCATTGGAAGTATTCTATATTGTATTTTCTGTCTTCTCCTGGGAAAAGAAGTTATCTCTATCCCCAGCCAGACTGACCTTGTTTTCAAACCATTTCATTCTGCTGTTTCCATAGGTTTGTTTATATTTTGCAGGTAATACTCATTCATAGTTGGGTTTTATAGTTTTTGGTTATTTTATAATTAGGTACATTTTCCTGTAGGTTACAGAAAAACACATGAATTAAAAAGTTATTTCTGTTTTACTTATGCATGAGCCTGTGTCATATTGATCTAATAATTGGTATATGTGTGATTATTGCAATTAAGCATGAGAAGGTAGAATGTATAGTTCTATATAGACGTTTCTAAAACATTAAATTTGTATATTTTTACTATATATTCCTTTTGTATGCCTACAGATACAACAGACATGCAAGAGAATGGACTCAGAAATATGCAATGTAAAATCAAAAAAACTTTCATATATACCAGAGTACTGTAAAATCTAGGTTTTTTTCAACATTAGCAGTAAATTGAGCACTGTTTACTGTTTCATTGTACCATGAAACCCTTTGATTTTAACCCATTTTAAATGTGTTTCTGAAGCAAGACAAAACAAACTTCCAAAAATACCCTTAAGACTGTGATGAGAGCATTTATCATTTTGTATGCATTGAGAAAGACATTTATTATGGTTTTTAAGATACTTGGACATCTGCATCTTCAGCTTACAAGATCTACAATGCAGCTAAAAAGCAACCAAATTATTTTTTGCTGAAACTAGATGTTTTTACATGAGAAATACTGTATGTGTTGTCTAAGATGTCGTCACTTTTATAAATCTGTATTCAGATTTCATTCTTTGTTAGCTCACTTTATAATTTGTATTTTTTTACTGTATAGACTAAATATATTCTATTTACATGTATGTCAACTCATTACTTTTTTCCTGTGAACAGTATTGAAAAAACCCAACAGCTGATAATTAAATGAATTAACTGTGTCTCCCTTGTCTTAGGATATTCTTTAGATTGATTGCAGATTTCTTAAACCTGAAATGATCTTTACACTGTAATTCTCAGTATACTGATTATGGAGAAACACTTGTTTTGATTTTGTTATACTTGACTTAACTTTATTGCAATGTGAATTACTTGCACTGCTAAGTAGGAAGGTGTGTAACTTTTATTTGTTGCTATTCACATTTGAATTTTTTTTTCTGTATAGGCAATATTATATTGACACCTTTTACAGATCTTACTGTAGCTTTTTCCATATAAATAAAATGCTTTTTCTACTATTTGTCTTGATTACTTAAAACATTACTTTATCTATAGGTAAGAATTAAACCTGTATATAAAATTTTACATGAAAATTATTTCCAAATTATGAAAATGAGATGTATTATATTTGGCATTAAGCACCACTAGTTATGTATACATTTTTATCATATTAGATTAGCATCTCTTTACTCAATTGTCTGTAAGATTATTGATTATTTACCTTGGCCACTAGTTGTAGATGAGAATTCAGAAGTTGGGGTTTGTCTTGGATCACATCTTAGATGGATTATTTCTGGAAGTACCAAAATGAATGTAAGGTAGTGTCACCTTCCCTGAAGAAAAGTTTTTATAGACCTAAGAAATCATGAGATTCATTCATTAAAATTATCCTGTAGATGTAACTGACATTATATTTCTTAACATTTTGAAAATCTAGAGTTTCTAAAGTAGGATTTTAGTGTTGTCACAATTTGAAAAACATCCCTTTTTTTTTCACTATAAAATTTACCCCCAAAAAGAATTCTAAAATGATGCTTCTCTCTGTTTTTATAAGTTGTCTGGTAAAAGTAATCTAAATAAGCAGATTATCTTTCTAGATTTTTAAAGAAAATGAGAAAGTTCAAATGTATTACTTGCAAAACCCCTCTCTTTAATGTTTAGCAAGCATACCACCTGAGTGCATCATATTAAAGAGCATTCCTAGCTCTTCTGGTTGTTGCAACAGGTGTGTGAGTGTGCAGGCACCCCTGGTGGGGTAATCATTAGCAAACCTTTTAAGCCACTTGATTATTTTGTCATGGTTCATTATTATTAAAGTACAAAATAACTTGTTGTTAGAAAATATATGTCTTTATGAGATAATTAAATGAATTGTGAACTGGATATTTAAGAAAATATAGTAAAGTAGCTATATTAATTGATGTCTTAAAACAGCAATATCATGAAAAACACTACAGTAGCTATCTTTGCCATGAATTTGAAGATTCAACATCATTAAGATTTTAAGTATTAATCATATGTTGACAGTAGAGGATTTTGTTTAAGTATCTTTTACTTTTTTTTTTAAGCTTTTATTTGTGTGTCATATATTTTTGGAAGTGTCTTTTTTTTCTTTATTAAAAGTTTTGAATCTTACCTAACTCTTGTTTGCCTTTGCTTACATTTGAATTGTACAACCAGACTTGTGAGGAGTAAGCCAACATTCTTATAGTTAACTAAAATCCTTAAATTCAGTGGTGGCATAATGATCAGATAGATCATCATATTGGGGATATCATTTTTTTTTAATATTTATTTTATTTAGTTCTCGGCAGACACAACATTTTTGTTGGTATGTGGTGCTGAGGATCGAACCCGGGCCGCACGCATGCCAGGCGAGTGCGCTACCGCTTGAGCCACATATCATTTTTTGATTACAAATTCTAACAAAGAGAACATCAATTATCTTTTAAAACTGAGCTTTAAAGCCTTTTAAGCACCTTCTTGGAGTGTTGAAAATAGGAAGTTGTGGTGCTTTGAGGTATAGTTGCAAAACATATTCCAACTGGGTTCTGGATATTTGTACATGTAAAATAAATCAGATACAAGTTGGTTTTCTTTTCCCCCCCAGATAAAAGTTTTAAGGACAACCTCAACACCACCCCACAACAAAGCATACAAGCTTTGCACATATGCCTGTGGAAATCATACATAATTATTCATTTTTGCTTTTTTTCCTCTTTTACACCCTTCCTAAACTGGTAGGGAAAAAACTAAACACTTTGTGTATCAACTACTGTCAATTTAAAAAGATCAAATATACTAGATGACATATACACAAACAGAGTAACAAGGGCAGCCTTAACAGTTAATATTTAAAGGAGTTAATTGATGTCTTGAAGCATTAGTTAACATTAATTTTAAAAATATCAGTGAATGGTAATAATATCAATTATAGTTTTATATTTCTCTGATTTTATCACAGCAAGGGATAGAATGTAGGGCCTCCTGCATGCTGGGCATGCTGGCGCCAAGTATTCTACTACTGAGCTTGCCCCTAGACTCAGTTCTGGGGGTTTTGTTTGTTTGTTAGAACCAGGGATTGAACCCAGGGATGCTTAACCACTGAGCTATATCCCCAGCCCTTTTTATATTTTATTTAGAGAAGAGTATCACTAAGTTGCTTAGGGCCTAGCTAAGTTGCAAAGGATGTCTTTGAACTCAGGATCCTCCTGCCTCAGCCTCGAAAACTACTGAGATTACAGACATGTGCCACTGTCTCTGGCCCAGTTCTGTATTTTTTAAGATGGAGAGACTAGGAATATTAATTTTCCTTCCAAATTAAAAGAAGTTCTTGGGTTGTGAAGCTATTTATGTCATGTCTATATTTATTAGTAGTTAGTTTGAGCTAGATGATTTAAAATTTGAGTTCTGCAGTAGAATCATCAGTCTCAATAAGTTGTTTTCAGGTGCAGTCATGAAAATATGACATTTACTTTAGCCATGGCTTAATGTATAATGCTTTAGTATATTCAGATGATTGACAATACTGCTTATCTTCTTAGTTTATATAAATCTTTTATATGGCTATTAACATAAGGCACTCTGAATTTTCAAAAAATTCAGTTTTATCCCTGTATAAGCTGATTTTTCAAAAAGTTTTTTTATTTGAAGCAGATTAGTCATAATTTAATAGCCATAAAATGTAATGTGTATCATTTGGGAAAGTCCTTGTCTAGTTGTTTTTTTTTTTTTCCTCCATGCTGGGGATTGAACCTGGGGCCCCTTTGCCTAGGAGGCACACACTCTACCGCTGAGCAACACCCACAGTTCTCTTATTATTTACAATGCTTGGTTCTTTTTGTTCTGACAGTTGCATTTTATAAATGAGGTAGCAGGTGAAGATTCATCTAATTTCACTTGTAAATATCACCATGTATAAATAACTAGTCATTTCTGCACTTTTTTCATAGTGAGTGGTGTCTCTGAACTCTTAAACTTTGGACTTGATATGCTTTCATCAATTTTCTTTTTTATTTTTTTATAGTGTAGTGATAGTTGAAAATTTATAAACAACTGATGTTTCAATTATAAAATTTTGTAATACAATACTGTCTTGATGACAGTCTAATAGATGTTATATCACTTATTTTTATTTTATTACAATTGAAATTTTGCTCCTATTCTGTTATATGAGAATGTGGTTTTTAAATTGTAAAAGAGTTGAATCAATAGGAAGAGAAAAAATTCACCTAAAAGAATTAGTATTGGGGGCATTTTTTATAGTAAAACATTTGTTTAAAAACTAATTTTAGTACTTAGATATGACTGTTTTGAAGGGTGAGATGTGCCTTTCTTACCTCATGAGGAAGTTGCTTTTATTATACTTACTGACATGTGTAAGATCTGAAATATGCTTTCCTATATGAATTACTTGATGGGAGAAGCTATTAAGATCTTTCTCAGGCTGGGGGTGTTGCTCATAGGTAGAACATGTAATGTAGCTTGGCATGAGTAGGCCCTGTGTTCAATTTCCAGCACCAAAAAGAAAAAAAGATCTCTTCAGTGCAAAAGATCACAATGAGTTGTATATGAAATATTTTAACATAAACTCCTAATACGCTTGTGGGGGACAACTTGTGACACTATGTGACTCAGCCAGCTACATATTCGGCATATTGGTAGACGAATTTATAGGACTTGGCACATGGTCATCCTCAGCTAAGATTTATTATAACATTGCAAGTATACAGGGCTGGGTCACTGAGGGGAAAAGAGATCCAGTCTGGATTCATTCATGTGCAGACTACCTGTGCTCTTCCTGAAGGGGCCACACAAGAACACACTCTTCCAGCAGAGTGTTTCTGCCTGGGGAAACCAGTTTGAAAATCAAGTCTGTGGTTTTTATTGCAAGCTAATCATGTAGGCACCCTTTGTCCTCCAAAATTCTAGTGCCCCAGGTGTTCACCATAAATCATGTTGTTTGTTTAAAAATATAGTTGAGCTAGCAGAGCAGACATAACCTTAATACTTAGGAAAAGGTTAAAAAGCAAAGTTCCTAGAGGTCAGCCAAAGGTAAACCTTGTAAACAAGGCACTTCTAAAAATCCGGCCCATATAATTTGAGGAAGACAATTCTTTCCCCTTTTGATCTTAGGACCCTTGTTGAAACCTATTAACTATAGAGTTTTATTTCTTGGCCCTAATCCAATCAATCAGCTTAAGCCAGTAAGTATTACACAATTTTGATTACTATAGCCCTGAAGAAACTTTGTAGATGAGGAAGTGTGGATCTTCTAACTTAGTTCTTTATTTTGACTCTTCAGTTCCCCTGCAATTACAAATGCATTTTAGAATCACGTTTCCCACTTCTCCTGCTGAGATTTTAATTGGAATTGTAATGAATCAATTTTAGTAAATTAGAATTTTTTGTTCTGATTATCTAATTGATGAATGGCAAACCATCTCAAACTAAGTTTTGTAAAGGAGCAACAATTTTATTATATTCATGAATTTTGGGGGGTGGTCAGAAATTGGGATGGAGCATAATAGCAATTGCTTGTCTATTCCATGGTGCTTAGGGTCTCAGCTAGTGGGTAACTCCAATGGCTGGGTCATTCTCCTTTCATCTGCTTGTATCTGGGCAGGTTTGAACTACTGAAGCAAATGGGCTACTAATGGCCTTTCTACATGACCTGAGCATCTTTCAACATGATAGGCACCCTCAGTTCCAAGAAGGAGTATCTAGAGATCAAGGGTTCTTAGAAAATGAGGAGTAAGCTGCATGACCTTTTAAGATCTAGCTTTTGAAGACATAGTGTCACTTGTACTGCAGTTTATTGGTTGAAGTAGTCAAGCTCACTCAAGTGGAAAGAAAGGGGAGACAAACCCACGTTTCCATAGAACAGAATTTAGGGTCACCACCACAATCTGTTGAATTATTCCATGAGAATACATCACTCCATGAGAATACATCACTCAGCATACTTAGATCATATTTTTTAATTATCTGTTTTGTAAGCATTAATTGTTCTATTACTATATAGAGTTCCTTCAAATTTTTCATTGGACTCATTCCTAGGTATCAAACTCTTATGAAAGTCACTTCATTTCACTTCACTTGTGTGTTCTTGATACATAGAAAAACATTTTATAATATCTAACTTGTATGCTGTAACCTTGTCAAATTCACTTTTTAAAAGTTTGTAGCATTTGAAAGTTTTCTACGCTTATAATCATTTTACCTACAAGTAGTGATGGTTTTGTGTTTTTCATTTGTAATCTATATGCCACGTTTCTTAATTTCCAAGGGAGAACTTTTATTATTTCAAACTAAGTATGATATTTCCTTCATATTAAAGAAGTTCTTTTCTATTCTGAATCATTAAGCCTGTCTATCACTGTTGAGTTGCAAGGTGAATTTAATGCTTTTTCTTCATCAGTATTTTTCTGGTGGAGGGTGGGTACTGGAGATTGAACCCAGGGCCACAAAACCACTGAGCCACATCTCCAGCCTTTTTAGAGAGTCTCACTGAGTTGCTTAGGGCCTTGCTAAATTGCTGAGGCTGGCTTTAACTTGTGATCCTCCTGCCTTAGTCCCGAGCTGCTAGGATTATAGGGGTGCACCACTATGCCCAGCCTCTTCATTGGTATTCTTATTGTGATTTTTATCTTTTTCCTCATTTAATGTAGTACAAGTAACATTAACTAATGATATTCACTTCTTAAATTACCCTTGCATTTCTGGATAAAAATCCATTGAGATGTACAATTCTCTTTACAAATCACTGGGTTCTGTTTTGTTAATATTTTGTTGAGGACTTTTGCATCTATGTTCACAAGAAAAGTAGGTCCATAATTTCCTTTCTTGAAAGCTTTGCCAAGTTTGATACCTCAAGTTACAGTAGCTTAAGAAAAAGAATTGGGAAACATTTCCTTTTTATTCTCTGTCAAACTATTTATAAGATTTGTGTTATTCCTTAAATATTTTGAAAACTATTCTGAAGCCATTTCTCTCTAGAGTTGTTTTTTTTTTCTTAAAATTTTAGGAAATTTTGGATAAATATTTTAAGATATATCTTTTATTGGTTACTCTCAGTTTTGTGTTTTTCAAGAAATTTGTGCAATCTTTCTAAGTTGTCTATCTACTTGGCATAG